CTGGTTTATTTAAGAGTAAGAAGGTGGAGCCCTTAATCGCGAGCACAAACGTTTAATGAGCCTCGAAGAAACTTTCTTTGCTGGCAACACATCTGTCACCTGCTGGCTCCATTGAGAAGGATGAAGTGTGTTATGGAGAGCGCAAGTGGCTTGGAGTCAGGGCGTAAGGCTTGAAAAGAGTACCAAGCCGGCGGCGTGATACACGCGTGAAGTTAAACGGCCGATCGGCGTGCGCTGCAGCGCCGAGCACGTGTGGTGGCCTTGCTCACGCGTGCGACCCAATCAATGGCTGGTCGAACATTCCAGACGTTTCCGCGGGAGGATTCTCGCGCACGCGTGGCGGATCCGCGACCACCATGCCATGAGCAGGAACGTTCTAGAACGCCCTCAACAACTAGCACACCATTGGGTGGAATGTTCTAGAACGCACGAGGACCAACATGAATAGGGCGTTTTTCGAACCAGTTGTGATCCCACCGTGGGTAATGATCGGGTGAAGGATTCCAAACACATATGACCAGCCGAAGGTGCCTGACTTACGGGAAAAGGTGGTAAAAGGGGTTTTCCGGGCGGGGTCTAGGTATGCATAGAGAAATGGCAAAATAGGTATAGATAACCGGCGAATTCGTTTTTTTGGCGGAAAAGTTTTCATGCGCTGACATATAGCAACCAAAATTAAGCAGGACAGTTAAAAAATAAACATTAAGTGTTTACCACGACCACTTCTCAACTCTCCCAGCTGGGGTCATTGTAGATAATCAACCAGACCGTCTACAACAGACGACCCAACCTTGTACGATGAAATACCAAACCGAAATAATCGTGTCGGACTAAAACCAACTTAAATAAGTATAGTAGGTATACTCTATATGCCACAGATGCTTGGGGGCCCTCACTCGATCCTTACCATTATTTGTCAGTGTGTCACTCACGAAGGCCGACATTTGCGCCTCTGGATTTGTCTTCCAGTGTGTGACAACTAATCAGTTTCATGGATTCTTCAAGGAAATGAAGGTAACCAGCCCGACAATATTAACGATAGGAAAATTACTATCGAGCCCAATGGAATAGCCCTACCAGGGCATCCGAGTAACTCTGTCATTGCACTTTCAATCGTTAAAGCAACCGAAACGTTTAAGCTCACAAGTTTGTTTTAGTGTTCCGCATCGTCCGCCCTAGAAGGTTCCGTGTAGACTGGAACCGATAGAGTACAGGGTGTGACTCATAAAACTGGTCCTCTACTCCCCTCATGACGTTACGCTCCAAAGATAGCCTGTTCGACTTAAACTAAACGCACAGAAAACGACATGGCAAGTCCACATTCTAAATATCATCTTGAGCTACTGTCGTAGTACGTTTTTGTCATCCTTTTCGAAACTGAACAAGAGACATTTACGGTGGGAAGAGGAGTACATCTTAAGTCAGTATTTGTTTGCCTCTGAAAATTTCAAGATACTGCCCACTGAGACACGTTATGAATCACCCGCATTCCTACGGAGAGAGTTTTGCTCAAAATAAAGAAGGATTTGGCTGAATAACAACAGGGAGGCTATTGAGATTTTTAGTGCCCCGGTCAGTGATCTTGAGGTCTGTGTGAGCCTCCTAACCAGTTAATTCTCGATGTCCAATGAGGTGCCGCGCCAGATGGCTTGAATATGATTATTCTGCCAACGCAGTCGCTCAGCGTACATCCACTCACCAATGCAACTGCACGATCACTTGGTGCTAGGGTTACACGAATCGGCGAACCGACGAATCGATATTCCAGAGTTGACCCTCACGCAAAGCTCAACGTGCGAGCACGGTGGCATACTGCGTCGACGTGTTTTTACAAGTCCCTTCTGGCGTGGCAACTTCCTATCTGTTGTTGTCTTTTGCAGTCTGTTTCACGAAGAGTAGTCTACCTCTCTCCCCTAAACTCTTCTTCCCCAATGCAGTTCTTCTGAAAAACAATAACATTCCTCATCCTTGATATTTTCTACCAACTCCGTCTTTAGAATACAACTGTCGCTGCCGACGCCCACGCCAGATTGCGTGGTTTTTGAGAGAGAGAGAGAGAGAGAGAGAGAGAGAGAGAGAGAGAGAGAGAGAGAGAGAGAG